TTTTTTCCAAAATTTCTTTCCGTTCTTGAGTTGTACAAGTTTACGAGATACGATTTCAGGTGAAACTGCAAAGATTATAAAGAAACTTCTATAACTCAAAAACGGAAAGAAATTTTGGAAAAAAGCGATCATACGTTTTTACTTTCGTTTCTGAGGTGCTTGGAATGGAAATTATTTTAGCTCTGTTTCACACCCACAAATTTCCTTTCGATCTCGGACCGCCAAATATAGATGTCCATATGCATTTTCAAACGCAGATTACGAAAACCGTATTTTAAACGCCTCAAAATCAGTTGGCACAGAATTATTGATCTTTTAAAAAAGTAAGCGACTTTTCGAAAAAATTCCAGTATTTTCACATTTTTCCATACTAAAAGGGTACTTAGAATTTCTTAACCATGATATTCTTGATGAGCGTTAAATTCTCTATTGACTGATGTGTACATAAGCCAAAACTAAAATAGTGCTCGTTCTTCGAATTTGGAACGTCATACATTGATGTTGATTGTAGGAACAGTCGCGGTTTCTTCCCCTATCTTGCTTCTGTATTCATTACTCAGCCCCATTGCTTGACTCATTGCTATCTTTTACGTTTCAGTGGACTGGCCCATTCTTGTGGATGATCGCCATCATTTATTTTGTATGAATAAGTAAAACAGAAACTTTTTTTGTTTCTTAACAGTATGTGAAAAGTCAAGATTTTTCTTTAATTAATTTATTTTTATATACGTTGCTTGTGTAAATATGAGATCTTTTGCTCATAGGGTATAGTCCCATGTAACAAGAGAAAGAAAAGAAAAGGAAATATTTCATGGAGGAAAGTAGGGCATATTTATAAAATGTCAGCTGACATTGTATACTGATATACATATAACATTGTAACGTGGTTACAATGTAATTTCATCCAAGACAAATAGATAACATATGTCAAAATGACTGCTAAAAAAGCGATTAAAACATTTTTCCATTTAAGAGGGCGTTCTCCCGTTTATATTTCGTTCGCACTTTATCAGTTAGTAGAGCCCACTTTGAAATATATATATATATATATTAATTACTTGACAAATACAGGTCAAGGTTTGTACATCGGACCCTTTTTCAAAATCTATCCTATCCGATGGTTTTTCATTATAAAAACCTAATTCAAACGTAGAACGAAAGAATAATGTTCGAAGAATCTAAATGAAACAAGCAGAAGAAAATTTATTATTCTTTCCTTCGTTTTTATGGTTAATTAAAACTAATTATCATTAATTAATGCTACTCTACTCTAATGAAGCCAGATTTATCCAATAACTCATCAGCGTACACGATTGAATTATATCTCATCCGGCGGAGAATTTTACGGGCTATCTTTTTATTTGTTTGAGATAACATTTGATTGTCTAGGAAATCCATTTTCTCTGACGAAGCAACTGTTCTCCTCTCTCTTAGTGCTCTAAACTATAGACAATAACTTTTTTGATTTCTTAAACGACCTAATTTTATCTCAAAAAAATAAAAAGATAGCCCGTAAAATTCTCTAACGGATGAGATATAACTCGATTTTGTACGTTGATGAGTTATTGGATAAATCTGACTTTATTACAGTAGCATTAATTAATAATAAGTAGTCTTAATTAATCGTAAAAAGAACAATAAATTTTTCTTTTTCTTCTTTCATTTATATTCTTCAAACATTTTTCTTTCGTTCTCTCAAAACCTTTAAATCTATTAAATTAATGTCATTTTTTTAATGCAATCGAATGCATGAATTTTAGTGTAGCTAAAACAAGTTACTTGATAAAGCATTTGAATATATTTTTAAAAAATGCATTTGAAAAATTACAAAATTTAAGACTCCTAAATGTATTATAAATTTGAAGATATGCTATGGCACTAAAAAGTTCTTTGTTTTTTATTGTATCAATACGTTCTAATGTATTAAAGGTACAAAATGCCAATTTTTTACGCGTTCAAAAGAAAATTTGAAAAATTAAAATGTATTTAATGGAGACAGTTCTTCTCGTATAATTTTTTACTACGAAATAACATCTGGCTTTTTGATAACTGATCTATGTGAGAATCGGCATCTAGAGTTTGTAGTTTAATAGTAACGGTCAAACAGTTCATTAATAACATCTAGGATAAAATCTTACATTTTTTCTTCAAGGCTGCTGGTAGAGAAACTGATGGTAGGTTTTCTTAACTCTTTGTCGCCACAGGTTGCAATCAACAACAATGTGCTAATATCACTGTAAATTATCAGAAAAGCTTAGTTTGAAGTGTTTCATCTCACCACAAAGAGAAAAATACTGAAAACCGAAAGGTACCGTGATAGATTTTCTAAGAGACCACTGAAAATTCTCACGCAGAATTACAGTACGAAAACAAATTTTAAATTTTCTAAACCATAGAGCGGCGAAAGGGAGCGGATTTTAATACTTTGAAGGAATTTGGTTGATAAATGAAGGCGCTATAAAGTTTTTATTTTAGTATGGTCACAGCGAAGCAATCGTATTTTCTGGATAATTCGCCTGTAGCGGTTTTCCTGATTCGGCGAATAAAACAAACATTGTCACAGTCATCAGCCTGTTCGATAGCCTATGTATCACGTGTTTTCGACGCTCCCAGAGGTCAGATTTGGCCTATATGTAGGCCCTCGGACATTGTCTGTAGCGTCCGAACCATCGTAGATGAAGGTGTGAAATCTGTGCTGGATTGTAGGATGACATCTGCTCCATACCCACATGTATTTAGAGCAATATCTCGCTATGTAGACGTTTGGAATGGCACGCTCAGATGTTTTGTTTCGACTGGTATACCGTAGTAAGTCTGTCGGATAAGGTTCATTCTAGCATAGATTTATGACCCCGGGTGTCCTCATTCATAATCTGTAAACTACAGCTCTCCAGCTCGTTCTGTTCTCAAGTTATTCAAATTCATCCGTGTTCTTTATATTTTGAAATGGATAGTAGTATGTAGAAATTTTGAAGCAGTTTTCTCTCCTGTTGAAGATTTAACACGTTTGCAACAAAATTCATTACCGTCAAAGTATTAGAATTAAGGTGTCATTTAGTAACCTTAGATTAAAGCAATTACTCTCAAATCTCGAGAAATACGTATACATAAACGATCAGACCCTGCAGATCTTATGCATTTAACATTTTATGATGCATTTTCGTTTGCATAGGAAATCAAAAACTATTTTGCGCGTAAGGGAAGACTAGGATCGAAATTGTGTACTTGGTAAACGAAGATACCTAGAACAGATTAAGGCCCACCCCCCACCCAAAAATCCATTTCTGTTTAGGAGCATCCGATCTTAATGGAACTTTCAGAGATGGTGTATCTAGGTATGATGACCTCATAGTAAAAATTCGAGCTCGAAATATTAAATCTGTCAAGAGCTAGCTCACAATTAATGTCCAATAATGGGTCTTCGTCCGTCCCAGATTTCTCTGCCATTTTTAACATTAGAGAGCTCGGGTTGGTTTTAAAATGTGGCTAAGATGTAGGGCTACAACTTAACAAAGGCCGATTTTTTAATTTCTCTGTAGTTCATTGTTTATAGAACTTTTACGTCACGATATGAAATTACTGGGGTGTAGGATCTCAAACATTTTCTCTTCATCTGACGTTAATTCTGAAATCGAAGAATCGGGTACTGTTAAGTTGTAGTGTCAGACTTTAGCTATGATTTAAAACAAACCCGAGCTTTCTAGCTTTCAAAATAGCGGAGAAATCTGGGATGCACGAAAACGTAAAAGTAAAAAATCTCATTTTGAGAAGATTGGAAGATGTCGTTTTCCTTAAATAGAGGTTTTCAGAAAAATCTCTGTAAAACCGTTAAAACTCATCGTAAACAGAATAAATTATAGTGCATTCGATACCGCAAGTGATGCTCTATCACATGCACTATCAAACAAAAAATCGAAAATTTTGACGAAAGTCGACCTTTTTTGGGTGTGGGGTGGGCCTTAAAGGAAAATCTAACTTCATCGTGTATTTATTTAGGAGTTATCGACATAGAGCTTGACTAAAATTGATCAAACTTGTGATAGTTGTTAAAATATAGTATACCGGTCATTTAGTTCGCTATTTGACCAGTATACTTGATAGAAAGCTTTCCGTATCGAAATGAGTGACTTATAATCTTTCTCATCAATTGTCGTCGGGTTAGAAGAATAGTGCTTACCGGTAGATTCATTTAAAGCATACTACGGTTTACAAAATGTTGTAGGCTAGCACCGAGACCCATCTTAACCCTTTCGTGCCTTTGGCTAAACCTGACGGTTCTGAAGGACAACCCGTTCAATAGCATTAATCTTATGGCCTCTAAAATACACAGGAAAAGTTTTGAACCAAATCGATGTGAACGTCAAAAATATATTTTTATGATGAAGATTAAATTAAGCTTGTTGATTTGAAGCCCGCAATAGACAGGCTTTAAGTTGATATGAAATCTGTTTCTAAATGCCTAACAATTCAAGTGAACTAAATTTTTATAAAATGCACCTATAGGTATCATAGGGTAAGAAAGGATTAACTTGTAGAGCACGTTGAGTTCTGTTAGCAAACGCAAATCGAGCGGAGAGTGGATAGATGGAGTCAATGTATGCTGCGAGGAAACTTGATTTTGACCCGACAGCAAAACTGAGGACAACTGATGCCTCTGTTAATACCTTTAACAGTGCAGTGTGAGACTACGATTCCACTGAAGAAACATTTTTTTAATAACATGCATCAAAAAATCGTAACAGGGCACATTTAGTAGTAGGTATTAATTTAATGATAATATTTCAGATGTAAATATTCGCGGGTTATTTGAGCAAGTTCTTAGCTAGTTACTTGACAAGAAGGTAATGTAATCTATTTACTTGTGTTTCCTGACAAATACTTGATTTACGTAGGAAAATCGCAAGAACGTTAAATAAAACTTGTAGATAATCTTACTTGCACGTGCATCCACTAAGTTCCTTCCATTGGAGCAAAAACATTTAGATTTACCTTACAAACTTACTATGCTGACACGATACACTTACATTCAGGAGAAGCAGGAAAACTGCGCCCGAAAAACTTCTTCTGATTCTGAACCAGAGTTAGCATCTCTTATATTTTATTGTAATTTTTTAGTGTCGTTTACAGCATGCATCAACAACATCAAAATGATACCTATCAAATTACAAGCATAGTAACCAAATATGAGCCACACAATTCATGTGAAACACCACAAACACCAACAACAGACAACTTCATCACAAAAAAAAATTTTCTCACATACGCAACTTCCTCTAGTGATGATTTAGACGAAAATAACAATGCTTACCATACAAGTTTAACTGGCGGTATACTTCTGGTATCACCCGATGTATCAAAAATATTTGATTATGCCGAACATGGAAACTTTGAGGGTATGAACAAAGTATTACAAGTACACCACACGCAAGCCGTTCAAATGAAAAATGAAAAAGAACAAGTAGGTTAATTCGACGCCGATGCTATTATTTGATAAAAAATGTACTTTTTTCAGACACTGTTACATGTTGCTGTCATATTTTCGTTCTCATACGTGTGGATTCGATTACTATTAATGCGTGAATCTAATCCATGTGCACAAGATAAAGATGGATATACTCCTTTACATTACGCTGTTGAAAAGGATGATGTTGAGATGGTGAAAGCGCTCACTGCCAGATTTTGTATCAAACTGAACACATTACCAGATGCTGCAATAGACAAAATACATGCAGATTGTATGAGAGCGTTAACAGTAACAGATAAATTGGGTGAGAACTATGCCAATAACAGTATTTATTTCTTTATCTTTTTCTATATTATTAGGTCGGACTGTTTTCATGCTAGCTTGTTATAAAGGATCATTGAAATGTGCTACCTATCTGAATCCACAACAAACGCAGGATAATTTCAATATGACGGTAAAGATGAATTTGGAGAAAGATGGGGGGGAGGGGGAAGCTTCTAAAAAACGTATATTACAAAAGTAAAATAGGGTATTTGTATTTGCGACCATCCAAAACGCATTTTCCTTTGGCATTTAGAGTGAAAAACTCCTCCCGTTTTCTAAAAACATTGCTTAACCAGTAACGAAAACAGCTAAGGGTTTATCACTGTTTTCAACACCAAAATGCGTTTCGTATAGTCGCAAATGCAAGTACCCTCCGAAATACTGTTTTTTGGTATGCTGAACTACGCTTCAGGTTTTGTGCAATTCATAAAATCGTGTTTTAATTTGAAAATCTCTCATTCTAAAAACTGAACACTAATCTGTCTAAGCAGACGCAAAAACCAAGAGAAAAGACGACAAAGTCTTGTTCGCATACTGGTACAAATTCGAAGTATAAGTTTGTTACGCAGATCAGCTATACGTTTGTTACGCAGATCAGCTAAATACCAGAACGATCGTTTCGGAGTTTTGCATTTAGTACGACCTTATTTGTTCTGGCGCTGCCACTGCCTGATATTCGATATTGATGACTGAACTGTAACCCGTTCTCTGATGTTGATTTAATCAGCTGAGACGTATTTATAACAGTATTTTACATAGAATACTTTTATTCGCCATCCATTCCATACTTTTAATCAAGAGATCATGTGGAATTCTGGTATATAACGTTGAAAAATCGTACGTTTCGATGTTTCTAGCAGAATTTTTCTTGTTAATCTCTTTTATTTTGTTGAGTGTTTGTATTTCAGCTGTGCAGCAGAATACAGAAACTATGTCAATTTTTTTATACAGTTTCAGCTTAATTTTGCTTTTTCCAATGGAAAAATCAAGACAATTTCCTATCTTCAACTTGTAAGGTGCCACTAATTCAAGGTTTCCATACCATTTTACTTTTGGCTTAATTATACATCAATCGATAGAGCTCGACGAACTGACCTGGAAAGGTTCCCTCGTGAGTATGAGAATGATACTTGATCGAGGTTGAAGTCAAAGGTCAATCCAGTATGGACTCCTTGGACTCTCCCTGTAAAAGGTTACTACTAAACGATTTTGCAAATCTATCTAGTTTTTGTGTGAAGAGATGAAGCCGACATTTTCATTTCATTAGAATCGCCATTAAACGAGATTTAAAAGTACGGAAAGCTTTCTTTGAAATTCCTTTCCATTGCTGAGAAATTTCACTTTCTCTCAACCAGGAGCGAAAAAATCGAAATTTTCTCTGTAATTCTCAATTTTCTCCACCAGAACTCACTTTTTATGCAATGAAACTATCATATTCGGGATCAGCGTCGAAAACTGAGTCGAATGGTGTACCTTTTTATCCTGTCGGACCATGTTTTACAGGGAGAGTCCAAGGCGTCCATAGTGGAGAGGCCTTTGACTTCAACCTCGATCAAGCATCATTCCCATACTCAGTTTTTCATGCTGAATCCGAAAAAAATACTTTGGAAAGGTTAGAAGAATGGCAAAGAAAATAATATTTTTTTGAAACCGAAGGGTTTTTCGAAATTTGCGACTCTTCTAGTGTTTTGAAGTTTTTTCATTCAATTTTCATTCCAATTTTTTAAAGCTAAAATGTAGATATTCTTGGTCAGTTCGTCGAGCTCTATCCATTGATGTATAATTAAGCCAAAAATAAAATGATATGCAGACTTCGAATGAGCAGCACCTTAACCGTATGTAGAGTGTTTATTCTGTGTGCTACAGAACTGCTGTAGACCTAACTCTACTCTTTAAGGTCGGAAAGAAGAAAAAGCTTTTGCATTTCTGTTTCACGGGCCTGTGAGCATTTCTAAATCTTTCTCCAAGAAGTTCTACAAAAATCAAATTGAACTACGTCCTCTAATTTTTCACAGCGAAAAAACTAACACTCTTTTAAAAAAGCTTTTCTTCAAGAAAACAGCAGGCTAACGAAATCTTAATGACATGTCCAGAAAGGGCACACTCTAATGCATATATGCACGTGATCCTTTTCTTGTTCAAGCTTTTCATAAGCACAAAAGATGAATGATAAGATGCAGTATTCATCTGTTCCTATAATTGTTCACAATACTGTGCATCATACCGAAATCTCCGATTACAGAAATGATAGAAGATCGAATACTATTATAGGTAACCAATAAAAGTAATCTTAATGTAGATTGACAATCTATCGACAATTTTCTTAGTTTGAGGGTGTTTTGAAATCATACTTCCGTTCGTTAACAATTCTAGTATCTTTTGTCGATCAGATAATTTTCTGTCACTTTTGTGTTCTCACTTGAGGGTAGAGAGAAGGGATAAATGCACTAAGTGGAAATCGCTTTACTGAGTACTTCTCAGACCAGTACTCATTATTGTATTATACCTTTTAACTTGTAAATAAAATACATTTTATTGCTACATAGATAAGTTCTGATGGACTTTTCACTTTGAAAAATGATGCAAACTTAGTTTAAAAATTCGAGCTGACGAAGTGACTTGAGTGATTTCAAAACGAATTGGATATTCTAGGAAAAATGAAATACTTATAGATTTAGCAGTATTGCGGCAAAACGATAAGTTTTTCGCCGATTTTTTGGGAAAGTTTACGCTGAAGCAACGTCGGTCCCTCGAGGAAGCGATAAACCGATGCGACTTCAGAAAAAAACCCAAAACTGTGTCGTTACCTTGTGTCAATCTAAAAATTCTGACTGTGTTTTACAATTCCCAAAGTTTTTTGCAAAACAACAGAAATACGATTCTGTAAGAACCAAAGCGTTCCGTAATTACTACAAAAAGTAAAAGCCTTTTTGAATTTGTAAGATCCGTTTTCTTTAGTAATGCGTATCCGTTGTAGTAGCGTAGCGCTTGAGCGTTTTCCTCTTCGTGTCGGAATGGGTTAAGTTTTTGTACTATAAGGAAAATTATCCAAACGTATTCTATGAAATGGTTAAAGAGGAATGTACGATAAGGACATCGTTTTCTATTGCGAATAAATTCCAAATCGGTAGTCGTTTTGTAACCTGCGAATATTTTCTAGAAAATAGGGTATAATTTTTTATAAGTAGCTGATCTCGTAATTGGGATGTATTAAAGATATGCAATATTGTTCTTCAGGATATTTATGGTGATACATCATTGCACTATGCTGTTGCGCGCGATGATAAGTATTTAACTGAAATGCTACTCACTGGTGGTAAAGCCGATGTTAATGGTGGAGAACTTACACGTCCAAGTGCGTTAGATGTAGCGATATTTAATCAAAATTCTAAACTAACAGAGTTACTACTAACCAACAAGGGTAAAAGCCGATGTTTCATTAAACGTAAAACTCAAAATCGCACAATGTTTGAAGATGATTTGAATCTTATTATCAAACGTTTACCAGCTGCTTCTTGCAAAGAAGAAAAACAGCAAGTAGATACAGTGAATATTGATAGCTCATTCAAAGCTTTAGAATCTCAACATTGTACCTCTGCTACTACTGTTGCAGAAGTGGTAATGGGCGATGACACCCTCGGAAAACAAGCAACTGAATGTGATAAAACAACAGTACACCAAATAACAGTAAAAAACTGTCACAGTGCTCTCAGATGCCGTCTACAACACCACGTTCTTTTAATGAAAGAGTTGGGTTATTTACATCCGGATGTTGCGAAATCACATTATAATATAGCATTGATTTATCATATAACAGGTGATTATGCATCTGCTCTGATACATTATGAAAAAGCAATTGATATAGTAGAACAACTTTCATTATCACTGCATGATTATGTTGATATTCCAGATTATTATGCCAATCGAGCTCTCATTCATGCCATTCATCAAGAATTTGATAGTGCATGTAAGAATTTTATACAAGCACTAGAAATGAGAAAAGCGTATTTTCCGAAACATTTTGATGTAATACAAAGATTAGAACAACTCATAGAGAAAGTCAAACCCCAAATGAATTTATATTGCGTCTGAATAAACGAGTTACGTAGTTTCACTATTAAAAGTATCTGCCTTCTTTTCTGCAATTAAATAGTTATACTCTAGTTTAACAGTCATGTTGAATAATTTCCTTTCAATCGCCTTAATGCAGTTACAGAAATGTTTCTACTTACAAATAATTTTTATCTTATCGCATGTGAACTAATATTTTTTACGATGTCTGACCAAAATTAAATCATTTTGAATCTTTATTCTTCAAGAAAACAAACCATTACAAAAAATAGTAAACAAGTGGACGAATGCCAACACTTTTCCTTCGTTTACGTCAATACAAAATATAAGTTTTCAACGTTTTATTGCATCACTGTATTAACGGCGCCAATATGGCGCCATCATGATCTTCAACAACAATATTGTGAAATTGTTTTGTATGTTCAATTATTTACGTGTCATTAAGTAATTGTTCAATTTTGTACCTTTACAACATATCAATTTTCATCTTTTATTATTTCATGAATAATTATTGTGTTCGGCTTTTGTTTTCGAACGCAATCTACGACTGTTTTAGACTACCTGGCCAATAATATTTCATGGTATAGTACGAAATGCTGATATTACTGCGTAGAAAACAAGTATTGTCTTACCAGGGAACCCACTCACCTTTGCAATGGTATTCTTACTATCGATAGAGGGTAGTGCACCAGTAAAAAGTCTAAAAGGATTTCTGCTTTTGATGCTTCTTTCTACAAGTTAGTTGTTTTATTAAAATTATCATAATAGAGAATATTCTCATTTTTTGCCCGTGATTTCGGTGTGGTCTTCTCCTGTACTTTTCGGTTTTCTTACCTAGGTCCGTGTTTTCCGATAGCCGTTATGACCGCCGTAAACGGCCATAAATGGTGAAATACGTCGATTTACGGCACCGTAATGTGTAGATGCAAATGGCCGTAATTTGACCGTAAATGTGGTGGCAGTAATACGTGCCGAATTTCACCGTATCGTTTACTGCACTAACACGGCGATCGCAATAGCTCCTTATTTTCATCATTTAGGCCCTTTTTATCAGTCCCACTCCCTACTTCATATCCTACGTAGCCTTTAAACCTTCTTTCTTGTACAGGTGCCATTATTGTACTTTTCTTTTGATTCATCCGTTCATTCATTTTTTTTTACTCATGACGAGCAAACAAAAATAAAGTAAGAAAGAAAACAACCTTTAAGCCCTATTGTACGTTAGGGATGACCGACGCTGCTCAGTCAATGTCGGAATTTTTTGTATCTATTTACAGCGACACACTTAGGAAGATTTTCAAAAGCTTTTGATTGGAACTTACTTCCTTCAGAAGTTATGGAATTTTTCGTAAAAGCTCTACAAACAGATCAAAACGATAAGTATGTAAAAGTGAAGTTTGTTTTGTTTATATTTTGGTCTAGGAAGTAGATCAAGAGACCACATTTAGAGCATAAGCGGTGATTCTTTCGAGAAAGTACTAAGTTTACATCTACTATGTCCAAATTGTTCGAGAGTAAGAGGACTAGTACAACTCGAGCTCCTGATGACGAATATCGCGTTTAAAAAATTTTAAAACAACGGTGTGATGGCCTTCTAGACCTGTGGAACTCCCATTTCCCAGCAGAACAGCCCATTTGGGTATATCTATTTCTATAGTATAGAAAGTCCTTCTGTGTGCATTATGCACACAGCAGCAAAAAGAGATCAGAAAGAAAGATAAATGGCATAAAAGAGAAAGAGGGAAAGCGGCAGTCTTTTGATATCTACTGTGGAATATAGTGTAATATCCACAGTGGAGAATCCGAGTCCAAAGATGTCGGGAGCTCGACTAGATCTTTGCGCCGTACAACGTAATTCATCGCGCTGATTCGAATATGTAAAAATCTCGAGAGAGGCTTCTCTAGAAAAAAAACATGAAATTTTGATATGTGATGAGGGAGTCGGTTGTGACCAAAATAAGCGCAAGCATTCTGTATAAAAACCTTCAGAACGCGTTTGATGTGTCACAGGTGATCAACAAAATATGTAATATGTATTTTCATGTTATCATCTGCCATATTATATGAAAGAATAATGCAATGTGTTTTGATCAACGGTGTCCTTCGGTTTATATTAAAGGCCAAGAAACGGTTTCTACAAGAAACAGCTCAGTATGATTTAGAGCAAAAACGATCGGAAATGCTCACTTTTTCACTTTCCCATGCTTCTGACTCTCAAAAACTGCTCCTGATCCCCTTGAAAAAAGTATTTCTTATGAGTTTTCGTCACCAGTTCGACGAAGGCCATTCAATTTGTTCCTCAAATTTTTGGTACGAGTTCAAAGACTTTGACCACAGCTCATACACAGAGAGAAAGAGAATCTTTTGAGCTTCAAATTTGAGCCTTTAAACTACAATATTTTGTTTTAAAAGTTTGCTCCCATAAATTTATTGACTAAATATTGAATAAATATCCCGATTTTCAGCGTACAATTCCGAACTTTTTTCTCCAGGATGAACATCTCAGATATTTCTTCTATACTGTTTCACAAGCATTTTCAAGAATGTGTGCAAATAGAAAAACATTTTTTCAGTCATATAGGTTAACCAAAACTGTTGCATGCCTAATTACTGTTTTAAAGTGGAAGTAACAAATAAAGAATAATGAATGAGAGTATTTTTTAAATCTTGTGATGTGTATGCGAAAGATTGATTAAGTTTTAATGAAAAAGGGAAAAGGATTCGCCCAGAATTATGGTGATCACTTTATATAAGAATGGTATAGTCAGAGTTTTTAAGAGAATCTGCCAGGTCTTATCGAGCACTAGCAAAGAAGATGAAGAGATTCAATGCACTTTACGAGTCATACTCGTATAAAATAAGTAACTTGAACTTACCCAATAGAGCATAATGTTTAAAAACTATCATAAAATAAATATTAAAAATTACTATAGCGCCGATATTGACACTATGGTCTGAAATCCAATATGCTGAATTTACCCGGTGATGAATAAGATCCCTGAATTAGTGATATCTCATTTTTTCGGGGAAGGAGTGATTTGGGTGACAATCTCTTGTCTACCAAAAACGTTTAAAACTAAGTATATGTAATATAATTGAAAAGCATTTTTGTAAAGCATTTTACATAAAAAGCGAGCTTTCTATACTTTACAGTATCATCATCAGGCTAATATGACTATGAATATAGAAGAGAGATGATTATATATACTAGTTGAAGCATGAAAAAAGAGTTAAAATGTGGATAAGATATCTTGATGATATTCTAGTTCTAATTAACGGTACCACTTATGACGCTTTTGAATTATTAGACAACGTCAACAAAATTCATCCGAACATAAAATTCACATTATAAGTAGAACAAGATAATAAATTAGTCTTTTTAGATGTCTTGATCGAGAAACATTCTGATCATCTTGAAACAACAGTATATGGAAAAAAGCATGCACTAACCTATACATGAAATGAATGGGATTCCGGGTCACCGAGATATCAGTAGGTTGCTTTAATCAAATGTGTGGTTATTCGAGCAATTAGAATATGCTCACAAAGGAGTTTATTAGATAATGAAATTTCCCGGCTTATAACCATTCTTAATGCGAATGGTTATCCAGCTAAAGTGATTTTGATAACTGACAAACTTTTTTTCCTTCATGTTCACATTTGAGATGCCACCCAGTTTCTAATTCTAGAGTTGCAAATCGTTGAGTTTCTTGAAAATAGAGAACAGTTAAGCTTACTTAAACGATTAATTATATTTGATATAATCGAATTCTGGAGTTTTAGACACTTTTCAATTACGAACGTGAAAGTAGTCTGATGAATTTTACAGATAATATTAGAACAAAATGTACGGTATGGTATCAAGAGCCGCAGTGCACGTTTGTTTTAGTTTTTTCACTCCCGTTTCATTGGAAGACTGGCTTTTCTCAACTATCGTCTGTTAGTAATCAAACAACTCTGTCGACTATTTAATGCTGCACCCATTATACTTCATGACATATTCGTCAATCCCAATGTTACTGGAATTTATCTTGTAGACTATGAACCGCATACAATATTAGCGTTCGCGCTTGTTTCTTTTATAATGGTGAAGAGATCCGTTCAAACCCATTCCTACCAAACATTGGTCGGCAAGCGCGGTACTCTTTTCTGATCAAATCCTTTCTATTCACATGAAAACGACGGCATGTGTTTTATTTTTTATCGTTATTTCAAGTGATTCTTTCATCTCCACGTTGATTGTCAATGCTATTTATAGCATTCGAAGACGAATTGATTGATTTCTTCTCTCACAATAGTTTTTTGTGTCGAGTCACGGCTAGTTTCATACTCTATTTTTTGTGTATCGTTCACCTTTCGATTCACCTTCGTTCTGATGCTCATGGTCGTTGAGAGTTTGAGGCTCAGACTCTCAATGGCCATGAGCATCAGAATGGCATTATTTTTCACCGTATTTTTCGAATTACTTCTCCATTTCCGCTCGGCAGTGTCGGATCTACGTGTGGAAAACCGGCGGTTGCCACCCTCTTGTGAAGTTTTTATCCATTTTTTTCTCAGCTGACACACTTAAACAACAGAGTTACACCAGCTCAAATAGGCTTTTAAAGCCCTTTTTCGGCTATGACCGCCACCCTTTAAAAAAACCGCCATCCTCTCACGGGTTTTCTGGATCCGCCACTGCCGCTCGGATCCGCTTCATTCTTTTTTTGTTAGAAAGCCAGAAGCCTAACGAAACGCGCTGCATAGCCAGCATTTTCTTGAAAAAGATATTTGGTGGAATAATCAAACTGACATTTTTTGATAATGAAAGTATCTCTGATCCCATTTCCATCTTGGACGCATAATCAAAATCCAGGTATGTAGCGCGCTTTTGACAACATTTATCTGCATTTTGACACCACTCCGACATTAATCGGCCAAAAATACGAACCGCCTCGATCCAGGAAGTAACCGGTCCACATCTCCTGATCATTGCAATATTTTTTAGAGCTTGAAATTTCGTGTTATTGACCGGAAGATCC